TTTTTTTTTTTTTACTTTTCACATATCGTTGCGTGCAAGTTCTACCGAATGTAGCAGCATTAAGGAAAAATAATTATATACGATTAAAGTATGCTGCAACGTGTGATGTAACAAATGTTCAACGTAAATGCGTAACTCGTGTCGTGTCGAAACCCTGTTTTCACATAAGTAGCAGACGAGTGTAAAGCACTTAACGAAGAGAAGTGGTCTCTTCTGGACGAAAATCCAGTTTCCGCATGGACAACGCGTAAAGTGCTTGAAGAGGGTGCGTGAAGCATTTTAGGCCGAAATCGCGTTATTACACACTGCTACATCGTGGCTGAATATTTTTTTACAACGACAGTCTGTCGTTTGGGCGCGTTTCCCTTTGCAATTATTATTAAAAGCGAAAAAGTAAAAAAGGAAGATAAGGAGATTGTATTTGCTCGTTCTGTTATTTGTTTTGACAGTCAAACATTTCTCAGTCGCGCATCATAAGTGTTAAAGGTACATGTAAATGCAGTCTAACGAATGGAGAAGCAGTCTTTCGAATAACATGTTACGAAAATTTCACACATTCGGTTGAATACTCGCAAATTACAAGCTTAAATCTGAGAAATATACTGTTCAATGAAGCATCAATGCCACGAAACTAGGGACTAAAAGTTACTTCTCCTCGTCGATATACGTACTCCAGTTTAACAAATATTTATATTCACTAAACAACTCATGAACAATTCATAATCTGTAATAAATTGGAGTGTATTTTTATCAAATCACTGTTCTGTCAGCTGAATTGCAAAATCGATTTCGTTTTTTTCGAAAACAATTTTCATTCAGTTTCATTCAATTTCCTTTCCTCTAATATTTTAATTTTAATGCTCACATCATGGTAAGGGGTTACGAGACATAATATCATATATTCGGCGGCCTTAACCTTTCGTATTTTACGAGACACGTAAGGCAGGTACGTGAATCAATTGCGTCCATTTCTACGATTAATGACAATGCACGAACACTTTTTTTTCGAAAAAAAAAAGTTAATATCATATTTAAAATCTTAAATTCTAAGGAATACTTCTGTTCAATGTTACAATAAAAATTTCACCAATTATAAGATATTTGGATATTCAGAACTATTTAACCGCTCTAATCGATTTTCCAACTTTACAATCTGGAGAAATAAATTTAACCTTCTTTACATTGATAGCAATTTGATCTAGTACACGTTATGGTTTTGATGTCAATGTGTCTTCAAGTTCCAGAACACGTTCAATGCAAACATTCTTTAAACATGAAAACTGCAGTGCCTATCCGCCATCAATGTGTTAATAATTTGACACCGTTT